ACAGAATAGAAGAAGCTTTCGCTTAACAGGCTTCCGTGTCTAGTAGCAGGGGATCACCAAGTCCTCCAAACAGGAACCTAGGTATGTTAACAATAAAAGAGGAAAAGAAATTGGTAAATCATAGTGTGATGCTGTTCTTGGTTCTTAAGTGTAGGTCAAGTTGCCTTTTGAAGGAAGGTTATCTTCATTAGACGGGGTCTAAGATCACCGTCCTTCTTGGCTAGTCTTGTCACATGCTGAGTTAGTATGTGTTTGAGCCTCAAGGACTGTTTGATGAATTTCCATTCCCTGATGTCAGAATTCGATTAATTAGGGTCTGCATTTTCCAGTATACCTTGCACAATTATGTTTCTTCCGCGGCAGAACTTCTCGCGAGATTCTTTAGGGACGTTCCGTATGATATTGCGCTCAGAGTACGGTATGTCGGGCAATATTCTTACACTAAAAAGCACACTGAAAACGGACAAAAATGGATAAAACGAGTGATATAAACTGAAACTAGTCTATACATGAAAAACAAAAAAAACCGAATAGTAAGCTGAGGCAAAATCACAGGTAACTACTAAATATGGTGAAACTAAAAAAAAGTAATCTACCGAACGTATAGCTCAGGATAGATTATTTAGAATTGAAATGGTACTTTTGTTGCGTAAGAACACAGCAAAAGTTTGATAAGTGCAAATCACGTTAGGACTGAACTTCCTGTTCAAAAGGAACCTTGAGAGAGGAAATTAACCCAGTGATTATCGGCGCCTGTTGCGAGTTTTTTTTTCAAGACCTAAAATTCGATAGACTATTCCTCACCAAAAATGTGTGTTGTATGGAGATGTCAATTTATTTATTCAAGTTAACTGCTTTAAGGCTTGTTTATTTTATGGAGATGAAATGTTATAGTGGAAAACTGCGCAACGAACATTTTGGTGACTTTCCCCAGAATTTCCCCAAACTTTGGGGAAGATTATTTCATTTTGGGGATTTCCTCAAAGTTGGCAGCTTGGTTATGTAAAGATATATCTCACGAAAAAGTACTTTAGAGTTGGATCATCATTGTTCTTTTGCATACTGACATAACGTACTTAGTATGCGTATACTAAAAAAATTATTATTCACAAAAGTCATGTTACCTTATGTACTTATTTCGAACAGGTCTCAAAATTGTCCCAACTTGTAAATCTTCGAGATAACATAATATCATTAAGATTCGTTCCCCGTTGAGGAGGGAATGCAGTGTGATGACTATAAAAAGTTGTACCACAAAATGTGTACACGCCTAAGTCCAATGGCATACAAAAGATGCTCGAAGCCTAACCCGCATTGGCTTTGTAAGTTCTTCTGTACGGATAAAAAGGTACTAATTCAGGAGGCTATGGGCCTATTGGCTTTGGCCTGCAAGAAAAACGATGACACATGCGCTGACAACACGGGCACTGATAGTGACGATTGTGTCAGTGTAGTACCTGCTGTTACGCGACGCCTCAAACAACCGACTCTGACCGACGCAAAAGTGAGATCGCCGTTAACATTAACAAGGGGAGTAATACCACTTGGTGCTGACATTGATAACAATGCACCTTAAGTGAGAACCGACGAACTGGATAAAACCATCACCGTTCCAAGTAGTTCCAATGTCCTGAGGGATGAAAAATGGACTACGGTACGTAGGAAACGAAACGAAAGGAAAAAAGCTGTAGGTAGTACACAGGTAGTTAGTAACTCACTGATGGACTCTCATTGTGAGTCACAAACTGCACTACCAAAATCTGATGGTAAGAGTGAGACCCATCATGGCGTGACTGAGGAGAAAAATCAAATAACGGCTAAAACTAATGACTGTTTACTTGATACGTCCTTGCTGGACTCTCAAACCAATCCGTCAAAGCTCCAAAGTAAAGCTTCGTCTAACACTGTTGTGAGTCACTCACAGGACTCTGTTACAATAAAAGCTAATCGTAAGATACCAGTAGTTAAAATACAGGATCTATCGTCATGGTCGAAAGCTGTTAACACAGTTTCAAAAGAAGCTACCCCCTCCCTAGTTTAATTATTTGGAATCTAGAGGAGTCGAAAGACAGTGACCCTGCTAGAAGACATGCACATGGCCTGCAGTTAGTGGAGTCTGTGGTAAGAAATGTGCTACCTGAAGAGGTTTCAGGGGTACATATTACAAAAGTAATACGACTCGGTAAATGGGTTAAAGGCGAGACCCAACCAAGAAGAATCCTGAAGCTGGTTCTCAGGAGTTTCGAAGAAAGAGACATATTATTGAAAAACGTAGTCCGTCTTGTCTTGCTGACGACTTTATCCTAAGACACATCTGTTCTTGGAGTATGGCAGAATGTTGTCTCATCATTGGGGACTTCAACGCACCGCATATCAACTGGATAGAGCTTACAGCTCCAGGTAGTGGTTTCGATAGCGACCTTTTATCTACCGTTATTCAGTGTGCACTTGTACAATGTATCACAAAACCGACACATATTGATTTCAATCATGATCCGTCACTGCTGGACCTCGCCCTCACCCACCACTCTGAGGATGTCTTTGATATCCAGCACCTTCCCCCACTAGTGAACAGTGATCACGTTGTAATTCACTTTAAGTTTAGGACACATGGTATACAATTCGTATCTGCTCCACCCCGTCCCAATATCTGGCGAGCTAATATTCCGGAAATCAGAAACTGTGCTATCTCGACTGATTGGTCGGTCGACGCGGATGGATTGATCGAAGATGAATGGAATAAGTTTAAGGCTACATTCGAGTCCGTAACGTCGCCGTTTATCCCATGGTCAGCACGTAAGCTATCACATTGCCCTCCATGGATTAATAAGGAAACCCGGAAGCTGTTAAAGCGTAGGAAACATTTCTGGGACTTATTCTTGTTGACAGGTCATGCACCATTTAAGCGTGAGTATCAAAAATACCGTAATATCTGTAAGAAAACCATAGCGAAATCCCGTACCACTTACGAACGACAGTTAGTATATGATAGCCGTACTTGTCCGAAACGATTGTTTTCGTATGTTAAACGGCAAATGAAACGTAGTGATGGTATTCCCCCGTTGCTGTTACACGAAAATTCAGAATTACTAGCTGAATCAGATCGAGCAAAAGCTGAGACTTTTTCAGATTATTTTAGCGAAGTCTTCTCTACGTTTATTGTAACAAATACTTGTCCCACTCACACCGAGATACCAACCATTGAATCTGTACAGGTGACTGAGGAAACTGTCCTTCCGTTGATAACTAACCTCAAACCTGGTAAGATACCGGGCCCTGACGGGTTACATCCACGGTTGCTGTCATCTCTTGCGGACATTATTTCAAAACCGCTTGCGACACTCTTCAACATGTCCCTCTCACTCGCTCAACTCCCTAGAGATTGGAAGGACGCTATAGTTAGTCCTATATTTAAGGACGGTCAGCGACAGATAGTATCTAACTACCGGCCTGTCAGTCTAACTAGCATAGTCGTTAAGTTACTCGAAAAGATAATTCGGGTTAGGTTGCTAAGCCACATAGATTTACACAATCTGTTAGCTCCTGAGCAACACGGATTTCGTAACAAGCGTTCATGCTTGACTAACTTGCTTATTGCGAGGGAGGATTGGACAGCAGCCCTAGATCACGGTCTGTCTGTCGACGTGATATTCATAGATTTTAGCAAAGCGTTTGACAAGGTTTCACACGTAGGTCTTATGCAGAAGCTCACGAGCTTCGGAATAATAGGTACTGTACATGAGTGGATAGGAAATTTCTTATGTGACCGCAGACAGAGAGTTAGGGTCAATGGAACGCTATCCGATTGGAAGCCGGTCAAAAGTGGTGTACCCCAAGGCACCATCTTAGGCCCTCTGCTCTTCCTTCTCTACGTTAATGAGTTACCGCTGTTACTTAGGTCGTCGACATTATTGTTTGCGGATGATGTAAAAATCTGGAGAACAATAAAAAGTGCGGCTGATCATGTGGATCTTCAAGCTGACTTAGACGATTTAGTTAGATGGGCTCGAGAGTGGGGCTTAGAAATCAATGCTAGGAAGAGTGTACTAATGCACATCGGTCACGGTAATAGTTACCGTTACACTATTGAGGGTAAACCTCTTCCATGCGTTCAAGAGCATAAGGACTTAGGAGTAATATTAAGTCATGACTTAAAAACAACTGCGCATTGCAAAGCAGCCGCTGTCAAAGGTTTTCGTGCGTTATGGTCACTTCGCCGAGCGTTCAAATCTTTTGACGAGGAAACGTTTCGAATTTTATATCCCATATATGTTAGACCACATTTAGAGTACTGTATCCAAGCAGCTAGCCCGTGTCTGGTAAAGGATACTAACTCCCTTGAGCGTGTCCAGCGTGTGGGAACGAAATTAGTGAAGGGTCTTTCTAGACTCCCTTACGATGAGCGCTTAAAACGCCTAAATCTTTCCCCTTGTCGTATCGTAGGACACGAGGTGACCTTATACTGGCATTTCGTATCTTTAATTATGATTTGGGTGTTAATATGTCTTATCTTTTTGCTCCCTCCAGCACTAATAATCTCCGAGGTCATAGCAAGAAGGTTCATAAACCACGATCTAATAAACTTAAAGTGGGATCCCGTTTTTCTCATCGAGTAGTCAATCATTGGAACGCCTTACCCGAACAAGTGGTATCAGCCCCATCAGTGAATACTTTCAAGGAAAAGCTGGACCTTCACTGGAAAGCAGTGTGTCAGGATTAACACAGGTTCATCAACCTACTATCCTTATTACTGAAGACTGAAGACATCATCACGATGGCATCGTCTTCGTTACATCAAGAATGAACGTTATCAGACATGGTGTGGCTGAACTAAATTCAAATCTAAAAATGTCTTGTTTTGACCGCTTCTGAAACTTTTCACGAATTGTCGATGTGACGCACCAATCATCTTGCGACAGTTTGACCTTTAAGTGCTCGCAACCTCCAACAGTGGACGATACCCCTGAAGCGTTGCCTACGACTCCCGACCTTATTCAGCAATGTTTAGGAATCAGTATGATCACGACGTTTCAATATGGAGTCCACAAGGACGAATTCATCAAATCGAATATGCTATGGAAGCTGTAAAGCAGGGTTCAGCAGCAGTCGCCCTGAAGAATCATGACTACGCCATAATTGTTGCCCTTAAGAGAGCACCATCTGAGCTCTCTTCCTACCAAGAAAAAATCATTCAAATAGATGATCATGTTGGGGTAGCGATCTCGGGTTTAACTGCTGATGGCCGACTTCTTAGTCGTTCAATGCGTCGTGAGTGTGCAGATAGCAGATGGGCCTACGATGAGCCATTACCAATTTCACGTCTGCTATTTAAGACAGCTCTCAAGATGCAAGTTCCTACTCAGAGATATGGTCGACGACCTTTCGGAGTTGGTATGCTAGTCACTGGTTGTGATGCCTTGGGACCACATGTTTACTACCTGGTAAGTTATACATTAGAAGACTAGCAATATGGTATAAACATATGAATGCAACGTGGTGATCACTTATGTCAACTTATGTCGTCCCACAACATATTCACCAGTAAACAGACACAAGCGAATTCTGTATCAAGCGTGTATTCTCTAAAAGCCTAATATGTCGAACGTATTTTAGTTAATATGTTCGTTTTTAGATTTTTTATCTGGTGAAGAGTCTAAATAATTAACGCGAATAATTTTTCCTGGATTTTCTCAAGAGGGCTTTTAGGAGTTTGGATTCGTAGATGTTTTTTCAAAATATTTGAATCATAGGGACCTTTAATCTGTCCCAGGATGTTGGTATTCTCCACTGATAATCCATTTGGAAAATCTTCGTAAATGAGAACGTTATCCTTAATTATTCCAGGTAGAGTATTCTCGTTCAAATGGTTCAAATGGTTGTGGACGGAATAGAAGAAGCTTTCGCTTAACAGGCTTCCGTGTCTAGTAGCAGGGGATCACCAAATCCTCCAGGCAGGAACCTAGGTATGTTAACAATAAAAGAGGAAAAGAGATTGGTAAATCATAATGTGATGCTGTTCTTGGTCCTTAAGAATAGGTCAAGTTGCCTCTTGAAGGACTCCTGAGAAGTCGCTTGGACTAGCTCGGCTGGCAGCGAATTCCAGCTTTTGACAACTCTTAAGGAGTAGAAATTGTGTCTACATTCCGTCTTGCTATGTTGTGTTTCCAGTTTTTGGGTGTTACCCCTTAGGTTGTTATTCGAACTAAGCTTAAGTAGGTGTTTAAGAGGATGTCCAGAAGTGTTAAGAATACTATAAGCCATTAATAAATCACCTCTAAGACGCCTATATTTTAATGGGTAAAGGTCTAGTGAACGGAGGCGTTCTTCGTAAGGCTTAGATTTGAGTCCTCGAACTGATTTCGTGGCTCGCCGCTGGATACGCTCCAAAGTGACCTTATCCTTTTGGAGTGAGGGGGGAGTACTATGTTTCCGTACTCTAAATGGGGACGGATGAAACTATTGAAGATTGTGTGGAAAGTTCTTCCGTCAAACTGGCCAAAAATGCGCCTCAACGTTACCAGTGCAAGGTTTGCTCGGAAGGCATTTTTGTCACAGTTAGCGTAAGACTTCAAATCATGGGGCACCAGGACTCCTAAATCTTCATGCTTTGTACCAAAGCTTATGATACTACCCGCTTAGATTTATCCACCCAAGTTATCAACTTACGTCCTTCTAGTCATAGTGTTACTGATTCGCTTAAAAGTCGTTGTTGTGTGGTTAAACATTGTCTTTTTGAGTTCGCTATAATTCATCCCTCACCTAATACGTACGTCATATAAACAGTTGAGTTTACGTTTTAGTTAATGTGAGGTTTAATCAGTTGGTATTTTATCATAGCTTCAGATTTACAACCTTTTTCTCTTAAGTGTCCATCCTCAAACGCATACGATTGCAAATGCATAGCCATTGGTTCTCGCTCTCAATCAGCTCGTACTTACTTGGAACGACATTTAGATGAATTTAAAGGTTCATCTTTGGATGATTTAATTTGTCATGGATTAAAGGCTTTAAACAGCACGTTGCCAAATGAAGTTAGTTTGAATATGAAGGTGAGTTTATTTTCATCAAAACCGATCCCATGAATGTTTTCTGACATCAAACTCAGCCCAGTCTTCCTCATTTTCGGGAATTAGCTAGTATATTGATTCCTACAAAGTATGATTTATACCCAAGCGCCCAGTAAATGAGTCTATCTACTTATATTTACCAAGTTTGGATACATTTGAGGAAGACGTGTGTGCCATTAAATCCAAGAGTCAGGTCACTGAAGATTTTTATGACGTTCATCGCCAAGTTTACTAGTATATTGACCATTAAAAAAAAAGCAAAATGGCACACTTTATAGTTTATTTTATTGTATATTTATTTGAACACAAATATTGGTACAAGAGGGCACCATATATATATGCGCCACACAAAGCAATGAAAATGGGAAGAGAAAAAAAGAACGATAACGACTAAATTAGTGTAAGGTAGTTTAATGATAATAATGGGGAGACGGAATGTTACAATCAGAAGAAATCTTTCAGTTAAGGAAGATACAACCACTTTTTATGAAGAAAGTAAACGAAATTTACAGCATGATCGCCACTGACTTCTATTCTGAGCCATATCTGATAACGTTTCTACCCACTGTGTAGCACCATCTCTCGGACCCCAGCCAAGGAGTCGTGAAAGACTAACAGAAGCCAGCCCTTTTTAGATTTCTTTCATATCCCGACACCACGTCATACACTGACCAATCGTTGGTCACCGGCTACCATGGGACTGCATTTCCTCACGATGCTCCACTGCCTTGTGGGTCAGGCCTTTAGGTCAAAGGCTCGGGGTGTGGCCTCCTAAGGAAACCGCCTGTTTCGGTCTGGGCACCCGGGCAGTATCACAGCACACACACAAATAAAATGAAAATGACACTTTATAGTCTCATTACATGATTCATCGGCTTGAAGCTAGTCGAAGTCTAGTTAGACATTGTTTTCCACTAATTCCTAGGTCAATGGTTGCGGTCCGCGTGACTATCGTAACCAATAGTTGGAAACTCTTGGTGACGTGGCTCAGAATCGATCACAATGGCGTCGGTGTATACACTCTCTGTCTTCCCTTAAACTAAAAGATTAAAATCACTTCATTCTTTCTTCCTGCACCATATCCTTATCGCAATCTTCCCTTTATATATTACCACCTCTGAATTAACTACTTTTATGAATCCGGTGTCCATCTTGTTGTGTTAATGAGGTTTGGCAACTTGGACCGATGCATATATGTGCCTGGTCCTACGTTGTAGCTGACTGACTGACAATGGTAGTATCTAAAAATTGTTGGAGCAATGATTTATAGTAATATTCTAGTATGTTGTAAAGGTTTTCCATCTACATGAAATAATATCGTCCAACATATTTCACCACTCTATGAATTGATTTGTTTGACGCTTCCCAGATTTTGTGTACTGTCGAACAGGAGTAAAACTGACAATCTTCAATACCAGATACGTCTTTCACTCCTAACCCCAGCTATTCAAAAAAATCTTTTAAGAGAAGCATAATAAGGTTGATTTACATCTAAGTTAGTTCAATTACATATCGATCAAATGTCTGATTACCGACTACAAATTTACCGTCTGAGCAATCATCTCTTGAGCATAAAATCATTGAATTTATGTATACAATAAAAAAGTACTAAAAATCAAATAACTAATTTCAGACCGAATGAATTAATACATAAAGTTCCACTGAAAATATAATACTGTACTACGCAAATGTAAAGACTGGTTTTACCGTAAAGCGTTATATTTGGAGGTTTAACATTTTCATCACAGACGTCGATCATTATATGAAACCTTGATATGTTTTCATTTTAACACGCACTTAATTTATCACGTTATTCACTGCCTGGTTTGTATTCCTAGGATTGCTTACACATTTGTACCTGGCTCTACGTTGACCATGATTGATTGCGTGGCTTCTAGGCCTTCATCAGTCAGCCATTCATTTCCGATTCCACTAAATTATCTCTTAAGTACTTACGCGCTGCTTAAATTCCTAAATGATTTATTGTTCGGATATACCTATAGTACAAATACAAAATTCCTCACTGCTGATGTTTTTAGTAAACACTTTGTAGCCCGCTGATCTGACTTCGACTTCGATGGATGTATGGATATACTATGAACATAAATCTCCCATTTAGTTCTGTTTATTACCTAGGCTTACCCCGTTTGCGTGACGGTGATAATAAGAAGCCAAATACGGGTTGCGCTGGAGGGATTTATTTTAAGCATTCGTCTATCCAGACAGAAGCGAAGGCGAGTGAGCCAACTTGTTTTGATCAAGCGTGTTTCGACATTTATAGTCAGACAAAAATAAGTTACTGATATGTGGTAAGTAGGATGAGTAATGTCCTCACATACGTCCATCTAATAACAGTCAAGGTTAATAAGCGAATAATTAACAAGGTCAGAATGTAAGTCAAGAAGAATGAATAGATTGGTTTGTCCGAAAGCTAGAATAACTCATATGGGCTTGAAATGGTACTAGACACTACACAGAGATAGATTTGCTGAATATACTTCTACCTAACTCACGTTCAAACACTAAGTGACTTAAAACGATTCGCGAACACTACTACACTGAAGGACTTCAGTGTTTATAACTGATATATAATCTTTAGTATATGTCCACATACAGGATTGTAAATGAACCCTAAAGTGCCACTACGAACACCGTCAAGGTAGGAGGTTGATATGGCTTGCGAATCTAGACAAATGATATTAAGATACTTTGTCTCAACTAACCGCATATGATTTTGCAATTTCTTCCACTGTTGTTATGAGATGAATTCAAATAATCATTTAATACCAATGTCAGCTTTTCTTTGTGCGTCGCCTCTTCTACGTTCTTTACTGTCTAGCGCCCCTTAACCAGTTCATTTCACTGTACATAATATGGTTACGAACGAGAATGAGTTTAGAACAAAATCAATTCCAAATGAAACCGAAACAAAATGTGCAGAGAAAAAAAAGCATAAGAGTTTGTGTAAAATTAAAGATGCTTCAAGTACTTGGTCTTTTCAACCAGGGTTGACTAGTTAGCAATGCATCAGCATATTTAAACTTGGGTCTCATTGAGCGTGCAGGCTAAAATGTAATGAGTCAGTCCTACCAATACAACTATTAAGATAGTAGTCGATTTTCTCTAATCTGTTAGTAAATATTTTTCACTCACAAAATAATTGTATTGACAAAATATAAACATTCTCCATAATATTTTGACTGATACTTTAACTCTTCTACATAATTATGTGTGAGTCCCGAAACTCGAATATCATTTACGTTGGAGTAGTTAGAATCATTCAATCTCCCATATATCCAAAATTGATGGTTTTATTCTACTACTGTAATTAACACATGATAGAAACTTGTAACTCAATGATTGAAAGTCTAATAGTTTTATGAACTGTCTTAATTTCAGTAGCATTACATTTAGTGATTTTATATACTACAGTAAAAATATGAATTTTCATATCTTATTTGATGTTTTAGAATTGTTCACTTGCTATAGTTGGAAAAGACATGAAATTCACAATATTTGAAGATGACGATATTGATCCATATTTGAAGTTATTCGAAGCTACTCAAGCGGATGCACCAACTATCTCCGATTCCGGTCCTACTCCAATGGAACAGGATCAGTCTGCGTTGTAACCGGCTATCTATGTATATGGAATTGTTTATGTACTGATGATCTAACGACTATGCTGAGTCCTAACTTGTTTTTATTTTCGATTTGTAAAAATAAGAAGTTAATAAAGTTGAGTTGTGAAATTCATATGTTTTCTTCCTAATATTTTCTTTTTATATAGAAAACAGTTTTGCCAAATATGTTTGATATTTTCTTAAACTTATGTAGAGAATTTTTGATATCTTGAAGTTTTAGCTCAAACATTGTGTTTATTAAACAGAGACTGTGATATTCAACTGGTTTGTGTTGAACTAGCTTAGTTTAAAGTTACTGGATAAAGATGACAAATCCAATAATAAGTTTTTAAACCTCTATCGACTGACATGACTGGAACTTATGTGTTCCTTGTAACCATCCACTAGCTAACTTAATGATTAATGATGGTTGATACAGGAGTTGGTTGATAAAAAGGTAGTGGCTTTCAAAGCAAAACAGTATCAGTCTGCTACATTTTTGGCTGATCCGTTTTGATAGACACAGACGATCTGTATGTAGTCACCACAATAAACATGATGAAATTACTACAACATTAGAAGACATTTGGTCCAGGCGATCTACTTTCCGTTCTTTTCAAAGATGGGATAGTCTTTTGATCAGGGAACTAAGTCGATTGTCTAAAATATCTATATTTAGACTAAACCATCGTACTTCACTGAAGTTTTTTCTTTCCTAGTTTCAAGCAGGGTTTGCGTGATACACCTAATTAGTGATAATTGCTGACTTTGTTTTATAAAACAATGAGTCGACCTGCAAGAACTCATATTGCGAATACGTTAGTGATCTTCCCACTCCCTCAGGTTTCGATCCTCAAATTTTCTAATTCTCATCAAATAGACAGCTTTTAATCTATTAAATAGTACTATTCCCTGGAATCGCTTGTCGAAGAGAAAACACCCTAGGAATTTCTCTACGAATGACAGGAGTGTGCAATCAATCTTACATTGCTTCCAAATAATGGATGTGTTTGGATTGTTCAGTGTTGTCATTCCTATCTAGTTCTCTCGTCTATAACTTCCTCAAAACAACTGAGAAAGCTGTACAGTGGTTTGAATCTGTTGTTTAATAGAAAATCTTCAACCTTGAAAATACGGTTGTAATTGTTTCACTATGCGATCCCATATAAGCTAATTACTACACACTTAATTATTCAGCAACCATTGCTTGTAGGTACCGTATGTAAGTTTTACCATCAATGTGAAATAATTTTAAAAAACCTGCAGAGGCCTATGCCTTCGCTTACTTTTTGTAACGAGTTGTTTGGAATAGTCAAGGAGTTCATGCTAGTGTGATATTGCTTGGGGTAGTAAAGGCAGAAGAGATGTAGAGAAGTCTCATTCACCTTCGAATTCATCATTATGTGAATCGGAAAGTTTTGGTTCAAATGCACAGACATATCAAAAACTGCCTCAAGTTATAAATATAGACTGCTAGATGTCACCTCAGTGATTTAAATGTTAAACGCTTGTCTGAAGGTCTCAAGTTCGATCCCTGGTGCGATCGTGAATATTCACTGATGTAGAATCCCTTACTAGCACTTAGCATTTGTTTAGTTCTTCCTGAGTCAGTTTGTGATTCGTTGTTTTTCAAATTCAACAGCCTCTAAAATACCTCATGATCACAATCGTTTTACTAATACTAATGTATTGTAGTCAATAATACACATGTAAAGCGTAAGATAAATGTTTTCACTATTGCACCTCCATCGAGAGTTATATTTACACTGACTTGGTGAAAACATGGGGGAAAAGTAAAAGTTTTATACTGTAAAAACCGAGTCGTTTTTGTCTACATACATGTGCTACACAATCAGTGTAAATTTAAGATTTCTCAAAGTCCGAACTCTGCAACTCCGTATAGGTCCGTCTACTAGCTAGTGATTATTATTAGGTGTACTACCGAGCTGACGATGAAGTGGTCATGTGTCCTCTAGATCATTATATGCCCATTCTCAGATACTATGCATTGAAGCAAAGTAATATTCTTAACTTGAATATTTACTCGGCTTGTGTCAGTTCGTTGTAAAATTTTAAATAATACTCTATAATTCAGTTTTACAAGCCTCCCTTACAGTCCCCATGCAGCTTTTGTACTTATTCTAGAGACAATTCTCCACATTTGTACTTGTTCAGTGTAGTTTCTTCGGCAAAATGTATTCATTCTAAAGGTTGAGTTTCTGTAGTCAGTCTTTATATTCAGTATACTGTTATGTAACCCGTGATCATTTCATAAATAAACTGATTATTTGACTGAGTTATGTAGGCAGCTGCAGGCTACCTGGTTAGAGTCTGTGTGATTATCGTAACCAATAGTTAAAGACTGTGTAACATGATTCGGAATTTTCCCGATAGCACAGATGCATTCAATAGTTATATTCCCTCAAATTCCAAGATTTTGAATAACCTTATGATTATGTTTTTTTAAGTACCACGAATCCATATTTTATGTAATCGTGTCTTAGATACCCAGTCTTTTCAATTACCATTCATGTTGTCACTACCTCTTCTTCCCTGGGATTTGTCTCTATAATTCCATCTCTCTGTGCAGATAGACTGTCGGCTTGTTCCAGGTTCTATGTTGTATATGACTGATTGTATAAGCTGGCAATGAAGTAACTTTCTACTGTAAAGACAATTTATTTGATTTAGTGAACAATTTTTACTTGAAATTTTAATTTTAATACCACAGTAGCTAACTTCTCGTTTCCTGTTTTCTCTCTACGTTTTCAGGCCTATGTAACTAGTACTCAATTTTGTAATTGGCATTTTTCTCCTTCAGAATTAGTTAATCTTCGTTCAGATTGTAATACAACTGCTCTTAAACGATTACAATCAATTAAAGAAGTAGAAATTAAAAATACCAATGAAAATGTAAACAATACATTAACTGTTGTTGGATTAGATCCTGATCAAGAATTTAAAATTATTAAACATTATGTATATTTAATGAAAATTTTATTTGATAAATTTACAACACCTCAGTTACCAAATGAAGTAAGTTTTTGAACTGATAATCAAATTTGTTCAGTCTTTTATTTTTTTATTTTAAAGTTCAATTGTAATTATTTTCATTGATATTATTGTCGGACTGGAAAGAGGGCACCTCATCAAGATTATAAAGAAAAGAGATCTGAACAAATGTGAAAACTACAGAGGTATCACACTAATTTCAGTACCAGAGTGCTACTGAACCAGATAAAAGACGCATTAGACACCCAACTTCGAGATCAACAGGCTAGATTCCGCAAGGATTGATCGTGCACAGACCAAATTGTCACACTACGGATCATTGTTAAGTGAAACTCGTCACTATACATCAACTTCATTGACTATGATAAGTCGTTTGACAGTGTAGATAGGAGAACTCTATGGAGTTCCTGAGAAGATTGTCAGCATTATCCGGAACTCATACGACGGACTGCAGTGCAAAGTCGTACACGAAGGATAGCTGACAGATGCATTCCAAGCAAGAAGTCAGATAAGGCTGTATACTCTCCCCCTTCCGTTTTTACTGGCGGTTGACTATATTATGAATACCTCGACATCTGAGGGAAAACACGACATACAATGGACATCTCAGAACCAATTAGACGATTTGGACTTCGCAGATGACATAGCCCTCCTATCTCATACACACGAACAAATGCAGATGAAGGTAGCTAATGTAGCAGTAGGCCTCAACATGCACAAACGAAAATGCAAGATCCTCAAATGCAACGCGAAGAACACCGACCCGATCACACTTGGTGGAGAAACTCTGGAAGATGTAGAATCCTTCATATACCTGGGAAGCATCATCGATCAATAAGGAGGTTCAGATGCAGACGTAAATGCGAGAATTGGCAAAGCAAGGGCCGCATCTCTTCAATTGAATAACATATAGAACTCAAAACAACTTTCAACCAATATCAAAGTCATAATCTCGAATACGAATGTCAAGACAGTTCTACTATACGGAGCCGAAACTTGCAGAACTATTACAACCATAATCAAAATATTACAAGTATTTATAAACAACTATATACGCAAGATATTCAATGTTTGCTGGTCGGATATCATCAGTAATATTCTACTGTGGGAGAAAACAAACCAGCTTCCAGCTGAAAAACAAATTAGGGAAAGACGATGGAAATGAATAGGATATATATCACGGAAATCATCAAACTGCGTCGCGAGGCAAGCCCTGACTTGGAATCCTGAAGGGAAGCGGAGAAGAGGGAGGTCAAAGAACACATTACGTCGGGAAATAAGAGCAGATATGAAAAGGATGAGTAACAACTGGAAAGAGATAGAAAGAATTGCTCAGGACAGGGTTGTATGGAAAGTGTTTGTGGGTGGCCTATGCTCCTCCATGAGGAGTAACAGGTGTAAGTAAGCAAGTATTGTTATTGTCATAAGAGTGTAGATAACTTCATATCATTCTGTTTGTACTCGATCAAGTAACTAAATATGTTTCATTTTTGATAAGTTAGTATTCTTCGTTTACGTTTAGACTGATAAATAATATTGTATGAGTATTGGTTATCATTATTTATCTGAACTATACATTTCATAAGGTGTAAACTTTCTATTTGTTTGTTCAGTACTAGGGAATGAAAATTGTTAATTAGTAAAAGTAGCCATACATGAACCCATTCAAATCTATCTGTCTTCATCAGTGAAAGGTCAGTAAACTTGGTAAATTTGTTAATTGGGTTGTGAACTTATATCGACTAAAGTAGTCGAAACGTGCACTAGTCATTTTCAGCCACTGCCTATCCTGATCTGCTTTACTGGTTTGTATAAAGTAAATTGTTTAAACGTTAGCGATGACCAAAACATGAGTAGATATCAGTTGATAAAATCATTGGCTGTTAATTTAGGCCGTTGGATTTGTCCTAACAATTTCATGTTTCTGTGCTAATGGGGTGTGGCAAATTGAACCGATCTACATACGTATCAGGTTCTACTTTACGTTTAACTGACTGACTGAGTGATCCGAACTCAGTAACTCTGTGGGTAACAAAATGTTTAAATCAGGTGTATGTTCTAGTCCAACTGTGAGTATACATGAGTATTGTAATGCAAATACATCCATCTAACGAGTCTCAAATAGGATGTAACATGCGTTCTATATTCTACAATCCATTTGTTTTAAATAACTTTTTAAAATGGTTATATAGATGTTACCTGCACAGAACAGACACATGCCAATAATGATTGACAAATGTCTACTCGCTAATTTCAACGATTAAGTAACTCAAATCCCTCGCACTAACGATATAGCTTGTTCCAATTTTGTCTAACTAGTGAGATTTTCTGCAAAAAGTAACGTTCAGATGCATAATCTGTCCAGTAAATGTTTGAACTGTGGTTGCTGAAACTTCGTTTTAGAGTTCAGCACACGTCAATTTTACTGCCTATTATAACTATATAACTGTCCTGTCTCCATTTCTGTTGTTTGAAATACTCTTGGAAGTCGTCAAAAGTCAGATTTTCCAGCTACCTCACCGTCGTCATGTATTTTGCAAAAATCATTTCTCTCAAATTCAATTTATTAGCTGTCAGAAATTGTGGAAGACCACATACTTTCGATGTTTTCATCAAAACAGAAAGTTGATGATTCTCGTACTCCTAAATTTATTTATTTATTTATTTGAACACATATATATTGGTACAGGAGTGCGCCAAATATATATGCGCCACACAAAATAATGAGAATTTAAGAAGAAAAATAAAAAAAGTGGGGAACGTAAAAAATATATAAAAAAAAACAATAACGAAGAGATTGGTGTAAGGTAGTGTAATAATAATAGTAATAGTAGGGGAACAGAAGGGTACAATCAGAAGAAATCTTTCAGTTAAGGAAGATACAACCACGTTTTATGAAGAAAGTATAAGAAGGTTACAGCATGATCGCCACTGGCTTCTATTCTGAGCCATATCTGATAACGTCTCTAGCCACCGTGTAGCACGATCTCTCAGACCTCAACCAGGGAGTCGTGAAGGACCAACACAAGCCAGTCCTTTGCAGCTTTCTTCCATGCCACGACACCATGTCATGCACTGACCACCTCTCCGCTTCTTCCAACCAGTCCCAGAGTCGGCAAATAATGCACGACGTGGAATTCTTTGGGACGACATTCGGAGAACATGTCCAAGCCACCGAAGTCGGTGTTTCAAAATGGTGACACCAATTGAACTATCGTTTCTGCGTCCGAACACACGATGCCGAACCTCTGCATTACTAACATGGTGTTGCCACTGGATGTCAGCAATCCTTCGGAGACAGCGATAGTCGAACACAGAGAGTTGTCTAACGTCCTCAACTCGGAGAGACCAGGTTTCACAAGCATAGAGCAAAACTACTCTCACCGACGCGTTGTAAATCCGACCTTTTACAGCCAGACTAACATCACGAAGGCGCCAAAGATGGCCCAGATTGGCATAAGCCGCTCTGGCTTTCACTATACGTGCATTGGTCTCATCACTCACACCTCCACCAGCACTTATGCAGCTACCCAGATACACGAACTTCTCGACTACGTCTATCCGCTCACCATCCAGGGCGAGTACAGGATTGGAATCCTGCCAGTCTTGTAGAAGTACTTTGCACTTCGAAGGTGCAAAGTACATACCATACCTACGGACACTGATTGCCAACTGATTAAGCGCGAATTGCATGTCTTGGGGGTTATCGCACAGTAAGACAATATCGTCCGCATACTCAAGGTCGAGAAGTCTTTCTCCAGGCAGCAGATCCACACCGCCATTACTTACATCCATCAGAGCTGTTTCCAGAATGTCATCGATGGCAAAGTTGAAGAGGAATGGTGAGATTGGGCAACCCTGCCTAACCCCACTGCTCGAGTGGTGTCCGTCAAGGCTGCCCACTTTCTCCATTTTTGTTTAACTTCATCATAGACCTATTGATGGAAACAACACTCTCGTCGACTGGATTCTCGGGTATTGATCTCCTTCCAGGAGGTCCACTTATCGACTTAGAATATGCAGATGACATAGTCCTGTTTGGTGAAGACGCTGACAAAATGCAGAGTCTTCTGGTAGCACTAAGCAACAATGCCAGAATGTTTGGGATGCACTTCTCTCCCTCTAAATGCAAGTTGTTGCTTCAGGACTGGTCTGCGTCAACACCTGAACTAAGGATAGGGAGTGAAGTAGTCGAACGAGTTGACAACTTCACTTATCTTGGAAGTCTGATCAGCCCAAATGGGTTGGTGTCTGACGAAATTTCAGCACGGATTCGTAAAGCTCGTTTGGCTTTTGCCAACTTACGTCACCTTTGGCGGAGGCGAGATATCCGTCTATCAATAAAAGGACGAGTATACTGCGCGGCTGTTCGTTCTGTTTTAATTTACGGCAGCGAAACATGGCCCTTAAGAGTAGAAGACACCCGTAAGCTACTAGTATTTGACCACAGATGCCTTAGAAATATTGCTGGCGTCTGCTGGGATCACCGGGTAAGTAATAGTGAGGTTAGACGCAGGGTATTAGGGAATGATGGTAAATCAGTTGATGAGGTTATGAATCTTCATTGACTGAGATGGTTGGGCCACGTATTACGTATGCCTGAACACCGATTACCACGACGTGCAATGCTAACCGGTGTAGGGGATGGTTGGAAGAAAGTTAGGGGCGGCCAAACCAAAACGTGGCATCAGTGCCTGAAGTCACTAACTTCTAGTCTGAGCCATGTTGGTAGATGCAGACTACTTGGTTGTGGTCCGCGTGACTTTCGTAACCAATAGTTGGAGACCCTTGGTGACACGGCTCAGAATCGATCACAATGGCGTCGGTGTATACACTCTCTGTCTTCTCTTAAACTAAGAGATTAAAATCACTTCATATCTTTCTTTCTACGGACTAATTCTTTCTTCCTATATCCTTATTGCAATCTTTCTCCTATATATTACCACCTTTGACCTAACCACTCCTATGAATCCGGTGTTCATCTTGCTGTGCTAATGAGGTATGGCAACCTGGGCCGATGCATACATGTGCCTGGTCCTACGTTGTAGCTGACTGACTAACTGACTGCTCGAATGGAACAATGTAGAGAGGTGGTTGTATGCCCTCACTCTGCCTGAGGTGTTTGTATATAGGGCTTTTAGGATGTTAATAAACTTCTCAGGCACACCCTTCTTCAATAGACAATCCCAGAGAACAGTCCTGTCCAACGAATCGAAGGCAGCCCTGATGTCAAGAAACACTACGATTGTTGGCCTTTGATAAGTATGGCGGTGTTCTAACATTTGGCGGAGGGTGAAGATATGATCAATACATCCTCGACCAGAACGAAACCCAGCCTGCTCCTCGCGAGTCAATCTTTCTCGGGTTTTGAACAACCTACGAAGAATGACGGAAGCCAATAGCTTGGACGCAATCGGAAGTAAACTTATCCCCCGATAGTTGTTACAAGAACGACGTGAACCCTTTTTAAAGATAGGGACAACTATCGACTCATTCCATGACGTTGGTACACTCTCTAGTTCCCAAACCTTTGTAAACAACGTCGTCAATTCCTTAGTCAGAAAGTCACCACCATCTTTAAAAAGAGCCGGAGGTAAGTCATCTGGGCCAGGTGATTTGTAACGCTTCAAGAGTTGGAGTTCCTTGCGGACTTCCTCCTCGTTTGGTGGATCAGTCGTCACCGGCCATGGAGGGCAGGACAGTCTGACCGATGTTGCCGGAGCAGCAGGCCAGTTGAACTGCCCTTCGAAAAATTCTGCCCATCGTCCAAGACGTCGATGGATGTTAGTGATTGGCATCCCATCATCCTCGCAGATTGTTTCACTCACACCAGACTTCTTGCTGCCAGTGGCTCGGATGAGTTGGAAGAGCTTCCGGTAATTACCAGATGCAGCTGCTGCTTCCAGCTCATTAGCACGCTCCGACCACCAGGCTTCTCGGTCCTTACGCAAGCTTTGCCCAATTTCCTTACGTAACATCCTTCGTTTATGGTCAAACTCACGGTCACCCGGAGTAGACCGACGGGCTTCAATGAGTTGTAAGGAACCAGAAGAAACCCAGTGCTTAAAAGCGGGACGTTTCGCAAACCCACAACTGACTGTACCCGCCATTTTCATGGCGTCATGCAATTGCAACCAATGCTCATCTATACTTTTCGGTGGAGTGGTAGCTAGCCTAGAGGCTAGCTCGGTTCGATACTTACTTGCAACAGAAGTTGCAACCAATTAGCTGACATCAATCCTATGGTGACGATCACTTCATTGTCCACTGAAAAGTAAGGTAAGATTGGCGCAGACCAAGGCATGGTCAGAGTCCAGATAGGTACTCCAAAAGGAGCGGCAGTCTTTTACACAACCACGCCAGCGGTAGCTGATCGCGATGTGATCAATCTGAGTCCAGGCTTGAGATGCAGAGGGAGGACGCCAGGTGGCACATCGGCGATGACTGTGTCGAAAGTTAGCGCTAGCCAGAAACAGGTTGTGGTCTGTGCAGAGTTGCAGTAGACGGTCCCCGTTATCTGTCCTGCGACTAACAAGTCCCCATCGGCCACCTAAACGACCCTCTTCTGTGCCTAGTCGCTCGACCTGAGCATTCAAGTCTCCGGCTAGTACTACAATATCTGTCGAATGCACTTTCTGGAGAAGAACAGATAACTGGTGGTGAAACTCATCCTTGATTGCATCCGGGCTGCAATCTGTCGGAGCATAGGCGGAGATGACGAAGAGACGTCGTTTCTCACGCCGATTTCTTCTCACTTTGATGGAACTCTCTAATCTAGCAGCACATAACCGACTGTTAATGGGGATCCAGTCGATTAGTGTTGCCTCAGCTCTAGCGCTTAGTGCGACACCAACGCCAGCAAGACCAGACGAAGATGCCACAGGGTCCCCGGATAAGCGCACGTAAACCAGGCTTTTTGAAGCGACAGATGGAGATCGAATTTGTAGTACTTCGCCAGAGTCTTGAATACGGGTCTCGGATAGACAACAAACATCAATATTAAGACTTTCTAAAGACATAGCCAGCCCTATCTGTTGTCCGATCTGCATAAATGTGCGAACGTTGAAGGCAGCCAGTTTGAATAGTGCACGTGGTTTCAGAAAAACTGCTTCAGTACTCATATTCGATGGTAACATACAACTTTCAACCGAACAGTGACTCGAGAACGTTTAGATACAGTCGAATTTCCACCATAGACGAGCTGCTGTGTAAGTCGAACAAAAAATAAGTATAGACAGAGTAGGAATAAAGGAGGGTGAATAATGACGTAGTAAATCATAATAATAATAATAATAATAATAATAATAATAATAATAATAATAATAATAGCAATAATAATAATTGAATCATTTGAATGTTCGTCGAAGCAAGAGAATTAGTTTCCATGATCATAGACAGTTCAGTTCATTAATTGCGTGTGGGCTGCGATACTGCTCGGGTGCCCAGACCGAATCAGGTGGTTATCTTAGAGGGCCACACCCCGAGCCTTTGACCTAAAGGTCTAACCCACAAGGCAGTGGAGCATCGTGAGTAGATGCCGCCCCATGGTAGCCGGTGACCAACGATTGGTTCATACGCCACTTGTTCCCGCAGAATACTGGTGCCCATGTGCACCATTGATTTGGAATCCGGTTAAAGCGCCGGACATTCGCTTTTCGTCCTCTCATTTTCGTAAACAACACCCCCGCCACGAGAAGGCAGTGAGTAGGACTTCCCTGGCAGAGGCTGTATACGCGTGGCCGTGTGAGACTATTTCGAGAGGAAGGGCGAACCCACCCCGCTCTCGGCCATACCAGGGCATTTGGGGGCAATAAACGGTTTCACAAGTTGAAATCTATGGAAAGTCTGGATGCACTGGACGGCCGTTTCGTCCTGGTATGGGACTCCTCAGCAGTGCATATCCACGACCCCGCACCCCGCGGGATTCGAACCCAGGGCCTACTGGTCTCGCGCGTGAGCACTTAACCACTCCTAAACCATCCTTGTGATTTTCTCAATTCTTACTGAAATCCCGATCTGACTTTTCCTATTTATTTAAAAAAAAACTGTGCTGCAAATCCATCCACTTTATATCTCCTTCCTGATCTCGAATTTCAGTGTTCCCCTGTACACTATTTTCCACCCTTTCTTTTCAAATCGTGTTCTCAATCTCTAGTCACTTTTATTGTCGCTGCTACCATATTATTTCGATTTCTTGTTATGCATACTGTTAATCTCATATTACGCATATGTGATATTACAATTCGGGTCAACGTGCATCTGTTCCAGGTTCTACTTTAACACTGGCTGACGTTTTGAGTAGGTAGATGCAGTTATCTTTTTGAGTAGTAATCTAATGAATAAATCACATAGATTTCAGTCATTCGGTTACATATTTGAACCTCTCTACACTTCGGTTTGAGTAGTTGAGTATTATCAATAACTTGAACACAGTATGTATGTGACTAGAACATCACATTCATAGACTTCTTGATTATTGAGCATTATAATTTTGACCTTAACTAATATACACACAGCTGATAGTTCTTTAATTGAATTAGTTAATAGCTTTCATCATTTTTTCGTTATTTCAGGTATATGGTTTTGCTGCAACCTATTTTAAACGTTTTTATCTTAATCATTCTGTAATGGACTTTTATCCACGTGATATAATGTTAACATGCTTGTACGTTGCTTGTAAAGCTGCAGATTTCCCAATTGGTCTCCAGACTTTCATTTCGCATATCCCTAGAAATCAAGAGCGATATAGTTATCTGGTTCTCAATTCTGAACTTTTTTTGATGGAATCACTGGGTTATGATCTGTGGGTGTATACACCGTATCAAGCGTTAACTGGATTTGTTATCGACTTAGTAGCATATCAGGTGGGAAATTTTTATTATTTTATATATTTAATCGCTTTAATGTCTTATCAAGTGATTTCCTACGGTTATAGAGTAGCTTCCATCCTGATCCAATAAAGAATTATTGAAAGCTAATAGGCATTCGATAGCAGTTTTGCCTTATTTTCAAACCCCTCGGGAGCACTTATATTCGGGTGGTCGGAGGGTTAGTGGGAATAAGTCTTGATAACTTGGTGTTAGTGGTAGAAAGGGTTTGTTTTAGTATGTCAGTCAAATGTATTTTGTAAACGCTGATGGGATTAAAATGAATAGAGCTCAGTTAATAAAACAAGGTTAATAATCTGGAAGATAGTTGAAATAAAACGCAATGATGTAATAAATACAAGAAAGAGTTTAAAGAAGAAGATGCAACGAGGGAATATTTGTCATCAAGGAACGGCAAAGCAAGATTAATAACCATCTCATTTTGAACATACAAGTCACGATTTTGACGCCTGATAGCAACGGCTTCAGAAGACTGGAGGTTAGTTGTTTACTAATCACCTTAAAACATTGCAAAGTATCGACGTTATGCCTTGTATCAAGAAGATGTTTGGTAATTGCACTGTTTAGAGTCTTTCACTTGTCCTGAGGCTTTCCGGCACATGTTCCGGCAGCCAAACTATTAATTCTGTATAAACCAGCATGTTAAATAACTCAAAGGTTGACAAGCACCCCTTTAGTGTTACCACCAACTGGATTTATAAATTTACGTTTACCTGCCAAAGCAGCTACAGTGGCCAAACAGAAAGGACAGCATATCTTAGATTTGTTGAACATGTTCCAGAAAGCCTCAGAACAAGTGAAAGACTCTAAACAGTGCGATTACCAAACATCTTCTTGATACAAGGCATAACGTCGATACTTTGCAATATTTTAAGGTGATTAGTAAACAACTAACCTCCAGTCTTCTGAAGCCGTTGCTATCAGGCGTCAAAATCGTGACTTGTATGTTCAAAATGAGATGGTTATTAATCTTGCTTTGCCGTTCCTTGATGACAAATATTCCCTCGTTGCATCTTCTTCTTTAAACTCTTTCTTGTATTTATTACATCATTGCGTTTTATTTCAACTATCTTCCAGATTATTAACCTTGTTTTCTTAACTGAGCTCTACTCACCATATTCCTATCAGTATTTCACAATTGATTGATCAGTGGGTGGCGATCAATGTCATGCGTGTCTAGTCCGTATTAGAGCAGATCGAATGCTATCGACTGTGAAGCTAGGTAACACGAGATCGAATCCGCCAGGGAGCACCAGTTCCCTCAAGATTACAGGTACACCTTGCTGAAGAGTGCCAAGTAACACGAAACCCGGATCCAGGGTTTCCTGTCGATTACCTCCAACCACCATCTATCAATATTTATTCATTATGTAATCCCCGATCGAAGCTGCTACCTTGACGCGGTGATCGGGCTTGCCTATCGTGATGACCCAACCGAGCTATATTGGCTGGAACATATGTTCCTGCAGGTTCTACCATGCCAGGCAGGTCGATTGGCGAACGGTAAGACTAAAAGCAGCAACTCAAGGTCTGAGGGCGAAGTCGTACTGCTGACTGTAGAGAGGTGTGACAGCAGTAAGGTGTTTCCCTCGGACAACCAGCATGACAGCGATGCTGCCTTCCCACAAGGAGGGGTGGGGTTAGAAAAGGTCGACCCTAAAAATGCACACCTCACCTTACCTCACGGATTTCCGTCTCCGGCGGTAAGGCCCCTTGAAGAACGGAGCTAACACGTCAAAAACCTTCCACAAAAAGGCCGTGCGCGACCGGCCTCAAGCAGTTGTCCCTTGGGCTCTGCGGTCACGCTCCCAGGTCGTCAAGACCAACACTAATCCAATTTCCTTTTCAGGTTCCTCAAGAAATACCCTTCCACGGTGTGGGCAGCCGGGAAGTGACATCAGCCCTCATACCCGTAACAGCACAAGAGACCAAGGTGGTCACATTCAAATCCTTCCTACACCTCCTAATACTTCTCTTATCCTCCCGACTAACCCTCCTCACGTCTCTTTATCACCTCGCACCGCTAGGGCAAACGATTCGAGTACGTGGAACGCCATTCCTGGTCTCCTGAAACCACGCTCTAAACTACACGTAGGAGCTTTTAACGTACGAACACTTTGCCAAATAGGACAGCAGGCTTCCTTAGCTAAAACTTTAGAATCTCGCGCCATCGATGTGTGCTGCGTCTCCGAAACGCGCATACAGGATCCAAGTAGCGTCATTCATTTGACCTCACCATGCCAAAATAAAGAACCGACTCGATTTACGCTTCGTGTATCTGGAAGCCCTGATTCTGCTTCCCGTGGCCTCGCCGGCGTAGGTATAGCATTGAGTCCTAGGGCAGAACTAGCTCTCTTAGAGTGGATCCCAGTAGACAGTCGTTTGTGCGCTGTCCGACTGAACGGAACAGTAAGAATCCGGAAAGATAGGGACACTCGTCGTTGCCTCTTCGTCGTCTCTGCCTATTCTCCCACTGACTGCAGCTCAGATGATGTAAAAGATGAGTTTTACAGAAAGCTTTCGGACCTTCTCCGAAAAGCTAGGCGCTCGGATGTAGTAATAGTGGCCGGTGACTTTAATGCTCAAGTAGGCAAACTAAGCGATAAGGAAAGACACCTAGGTGGATCTTATGGTGTCGTGGCTCAAAGAACAGATAATGGCGACCGTCTGTTGCAGCTATGCTCAGATAACCGCCTGTTCCTTGCAAATACTAACTTTAAGCATAAGGAAAAACATCTTTTAACATGGCGACCCCCTAATTCGTCCCAACGTTGGACCCAAATAGATCACATCGCTATCAGCCACCGATGGAGGGGCTCGATAGAAGACTGTCGCTCATTCTGGAGCACATGCCTAGATTCAGATCATGCTCTAGTGCGAGCGCGTATTTGCTTGCGTCTTACTGGACGTAGGAAAGACCCTGCAAGGAAACCTCTTAGGGCCCTACTTAATGATAGTCAAGCTAAGAGTATATTTCAGGAACAACTAGGAAAACAGTTAGGCAGCCATGTATGTGATGCCCACCCCGATGCAGCATGGAATGATATCCGAAAAGCTGTGGAAACAGCAGTGATATCTGCTAGTAAGGTAAACCAGAAGGTTAGGGAGCAACACTGGATCTCAGCAGCATCTATCTCACTGATAGATGCTCGGAAACACATTCCACCTGGCTCTGAACATAATGAAGAGCGGAGTCAGCTTAAGCGCAAGCTGACAAGAAGTCTACGCAATGATCGCGAACAGTGGTGGGTAGCGAAAGCAAGAGAGATGGAAAAGGCAGCGGCAATAGGTAATAGCAGACAATTGTTCAGACTCGTTAAGGAAACCGGAATTAGGAACCCGACCGTTAGCGAAACAATCTCAGAGAAAGATGGACATATTATTCATTCTCAATCCAGGAGATTGGATCGATGGGCAGAACACTTTAGGGATCAGTTCAACTGGCCTTCAGCCACACTTCGGTTTCCCACGATCTCCAGTCAACCTGAATGGCAAGTTAATGTAGGTCCTCCGTCCCTTTACGAAGTTGAAAAAGCCATAGGAAATCTGAAACGAGGGAGAGCAGCAGGCCCTGACAGGTTTACTCCTGAGATTTTTAAGGATGGTGGTCCAGTATTAGCAATGAGATTAACCGAGGTCTTAGGTAGAATTTGGGAACTGGACGTAATCCCATCTGACTGGTCTCAATCACTGATTGTGCCAGTTTTTAAGAAAGGACAAAAGTCCTCTTGTGACAATCACAGAGGAATCAGTTTGACTAATATAGTGTCTAAAATATTAGCTTCAATAATACTTCGACGCCTAACTAAAGCTCGTGAAGAGCAGACTAGAGAAAACCAGGCTGGTTTTCGACCTGGACGTGGTTGTATAGATCAGATATTCACACTACGTCAGGTTCTAGAACACAGACACACATTCAGACGCCCCACAATGGTAGTATTTCTCGACCTTAAGGCGGCATTCGACTCGATTGATCGTGAGGTTCTATGGCAGTGTTTGTCACTGAAAGGAGTACCAAAGAAGTACATTAACCTTATAAAGGCTCTCTACTCGAACACAACTGGTCGAGTGAGAGCTTATGGCGAACTGTCATCAGAATTGATTACCTCAAGTGGTGTTCGTCAGGGCTGTCCACTCTCCCCATTCTTGTTCAACTTTGTCATTGACGTACTTTTAGAGATAACACTCTCCTCATCTAAATTTACAGGGGTTGAACTTCTACCAGGAGGTTCACTTGTTGACTTAGAATATGCTGATGACATAGTTTTATTTGGTGAAGACGCTGACAAAATGCAGAGTCTTCTGACCACTCTAAGCAACAATGCAAGCATGTTCGGGATGCGATTCTCTCCCTCGAAATGCAAAATGTTGCTTCAGGATTGGGTTACATCGACACCCGAACTAGTGATAGGGAGTGAAGTAGTTGAGTGTGTCGACCGCTTCACTTATCTTGGAAGTCTCATCAGCCCTTGTGGTTTAGTGTGTGACGAAATCTCAGCACGGATACAGAAGGCTCGACTAGCTTTTGCCAACTTGCGTCATTTATGGCGTAGGCGAGATATCCGTCTATCAACCAAAGGACGTGTTTACTGCGCAGCAGTTCGTTCCGTCCTACTTTATGGCAGTGAAACATGGCCGGTAAGAGTAGAGGATATCCGTAGGTTACTAGTATTTGATCATAGGTGTCTTCGAAACATTGCTCATATATCATGGGACCATCGAGTAAGTAACACAGTTGTTAGGAAACGGGTACTAGGTAAGGATGGCAAATCAATTGATGAAGTAGTGAAACTTCATCAGTTGAGATGGCTGGGACACGTGTTACGTATGCCCAACGACCGACTGCCTCGACGTGCTATGTTCAGTGGTATAGGAGTAGGTTGGAAGAAAGCTAGGGGCGGCCAAACCAAAACATGGCACAAGTCCATGAAGTCACTGACAAGTGAACTGAGTCATGTTGGTAGGTGTAGACTACCTGGTTGGGGACCGCGAGATGATAGCAACCGATGGTTAGAGACCCTGAATGACATGGCTCAAAATCGTTTGCAATGGCGCAGGTGCATCCACTCTCTGTGTTCTCCCAAATTCTAATCTTCTGAATTCTTCATGTCCCTTTTTTCCTCTTTCCAAATTTCTTTCACTGGATTATACTCTTTAAATAACATCTCCAAACCCTAATCTTCCCGATTACTGCTTATACTCTTATTACCTCTACCACTACGGGATTTGAATCGACAAGTGCATCTCTGTGCTAATGTGGTGTGGCAACTCGAACTGATGTACGTACGTACGAAGTTCTACGTTGTTACTGACTGACTGACATTATGTAATCACTTGTTTCTAGCCGTTTGAACTGTTGTCACAATCAATGTTGTAGAATGTTCTTTCATCACATAAGGTATTTATTTACCATATTCATTCTATTAAATTCATTTTCACCCTTGCTATACTATACTAATGTGTCATCAATATCACTTCTAATCAAACTCTCATGTAATTAATTTAAACCCATTATGTAACTATGATTTTAAATATCACAGGTAGTAAGCAGTTGACGAGAGCTAAACGAAATAAAATGAATTCATGCTATTCTGTTAGAATCTTTGTTCTTGATCTTTTCGAATTGATATAGGGAACTATGAGAATGAAATAATAGTTCTCCCTGCATTACTCTGGCTATGAAACATTGCATGTATGATAGTAAAAAATATGCATAAGTTGAGTGGCTTATACCATAGCTTTCTGTGAAGCACTGCCCGCGTATCAACGACTGAGTGTGTGACCAGTGCTAAGATAAGGTACATGGAACTAAACAAAATAGTAGTTCGTAAAATGAACTGGTAAATCTACATCGACTAATGTGTCCAGGATACGTCTTACATAAACCCACTTACCCTCTGCCTCTATGTGTAGTGCTTACTGATGCAGGAGGTTGTAATACTTCAAAAACTTGTTCTCCGTTTGGTTAAAAGTTGAGTAAACAAAATTACCTTAGTTTTTCTTTCATTTCATGTTAACTGTTTTTTGTTATTCATTTCTGGCTACTTTTTGTTGATATATGTAAGCTATCTATTCTGATATGCAGGTTGCCAGGTCATCATTTTGACTGACCAATTTTCTCCTTTTATCTATTTAGAGACGAATTTGTGGTGCACGTTCTGATTCCTATCTTTTAGAGAATCGATCCGATGCTCAGCTCGTTGATGAGTTATGTAAGGACGGTGTAAATTTAATAAATTTATGGTATCAAACTGACTTGTGCCTCACAGCTCATCCAAGTCAGTTCGCTCTTGCTGTCCTAGTGGAACTTGGACATACTCGGCCTCAGTTGGATGTAGAAGTTTTCGTCAGAGATGAACTATGTGGTTGTGACCCAGTACAGAAGTTTAAACAGCATTCTGAAGAGGATGATGGTGACGAAGGAGACATAAAACCCAAGAAGGATACCAAATGTGACCCTGAAACTCGTTGGCAGGAACTGTCTAGTCGTTTAGATTCTATCCGTCAAAACAATCGATGAATTTCAGTTTATTACTGACTTAGGACCTGTTGGTGAAGAAGAAGTAATTTTAGATGAATGTCGAAATCCCCTGTATAATATTGAATCTGACGAGTATGCGCAAGCTAAGTCAAAAGCGGATAGCCTAATGGCTACGCTTGAATAATAGTAATAGTCGTACCTGTACTGTATATATACCATGTATAATTCACGTTTACTTTTCTGTTTTGGAAATTGTGTGTAATTACAGGTTTTATTCTCTAGTTTATCTTTTGTCCTGAATATCTATTTCTTATAAATTCTACCTCTCGTAAACTCAGTTTATTATTCCTTTTTCCTTTTGAGTAAAGCAGTGTCAGCTTTAGGGATCAACGAATTTCCGTTGGTCGCTTTCGTAACGTACTGTGCTCTTTGTTTCATGAAGTCCAATTTTGTGACAGTCGCTGGACGATAGCTATGTTTCCTGAAATTCGATAATAAACCTTCGGCTAAAACGTACCCATAAGCACGTTGATAAGGACATCTGACATAACAGACAGGTCGGTCTTCCAATAACTGACAGATGAATGACGCTAGCCACTGTAGTTCTCTCCAAGACTTGTCAAAATCTAGCCCGTTCGTGGACGAACATATGTTGACAATTCGAATTTAAGTGTCTTTAGTCTCGATTTTCTGACCAAGAAGTTGGGAATTTCGTTAAAAGAAGTAACCAGCTACAAAATATCTTGATACATCACATTTTGTATGTGGTTTGGTTTGCCTTTACCATTTTGTACTTAGAAACAATCCTCATAATCTTCTGATCAGTCATGACAGTCTTCATTGTCAGTATATCCCGTTGATATACCGAATGATTAACAACCACTCAGCACTCATGTAGTAATTTGTCTTCAGTAGAACCCCAGAAACAAGCTAATTATGAGTTTCGGTCTATGATCTTAACTATCACAAAAGAAAGATTTGTGTGGCAAACGTGTTGAAAGATTAGCTTTATTTCTCAGACTGGACCGTACAGCTAAAAACTTGAAGAGGCCGAATGGGCTTGTTGCGGCTGTGCAGTGGATATTTTTGGTAAACAATGAAACATAGTTTCACTTGCTTCCCAAGTTTCCTTTCTAAAATACGGTAGTGTCTTCTGATGTAGCGGCTGTCGTAAGTATTGGGCGACGAGTACTTGGTCGTAGTCTTCGCATTTCGTCACCAAAAATCGTCGTCCAAGCACCTATCATTTTTGCCTACTGCAGGACCAGTATATCCATAGGCTTATGGTAGTGAGATCCGTAGCGAATGATTTAGCTACATTCAGCTCTAAGTGACTTGAACCAATAGTAAGAGGGGTCTCGTGTGTCAAATATAGAGAGCTTTAGCAGGTTATGTGATGCTATTGAAGATCTTATTAAAAACCGATGTATAGAATTATCACTGACTGACCAACCCCACTTTGCTGAGTAATTTGGTCAAAAGTCAAGTGCTATGTGAAGCATGATCGTATAGTTATGGACTCGTGCCAAAGTGGGCTAATTAGGCTTGCAGAAAGTGAAAATGGTAACAGCTATTTGTGGATGGTTCTTGACAGCACAGGTTTCAAGGTAATGACCCTATAGTTTGCAATATTTCTTGGTGGTCCTGTTTTGAATCTGGGGATGATAAGCTGTGTTTTCCATACAAACGGATAGACTTCATCGTCCATAGATTGGACAGTTCTAAACAGAATAATAGAAAATCTGTACTACCGTATTTCATGGATTATGCAGGGACCCCATCAGGTTCACCGTCATAGGATATTTTTAGGGCTGTTATGGCATTTTGATGTTGGTGAATATGGAATCAACAGTATATGGACGCTTAGATGTTATCGTTGGAAGCGTACTGATAAGAGTTTTGTGCTGTAGCATTGCGAGAAATGGCGGCTGAATTATTCACAAATAGTATCAGGGTCGTCAACAACTCTGCCGTTAACTATGAAGAATCTGGTTGTGACAAAGGAATTCGATTTCACATGGGATTTGAAAAGCCGAAGTACTGATAGCTCTAAGGCTTTATCCTACATAGATATAAGATACTTGCATTGAGATGAATCATCTCTGCCAGTCAAGTTAAGCATACTTCGTAGCCCATACACGTAATTGTGCATGTACTAGCTCTGCTTCAATTTCCTCAGCTTTCTCTTAAAAATATGTTGGCCTCTGTTAGCATTATAAACCACATGGTCGACAACTGCCTGCCTTGGCACATTGTTGGAGCTTTAGAGTTCAATGATATAGTGTTTGGAGAATGAATATCACTCACCACGACTCTGTGATCACTCACAAAAAATCCATCAATGACGTGCACTGAGGTAGGGTTGATATTGATTGCAAACATTTGATCAAGTATATTATTCCTTATAGTCGGCTTTCGAACGTGTTGGACCCATCCACAAAGAACTACCATTTCAACTAACTTGATATATCGTCCCAGTACCTAGGTCGAATTCCATTTAATGTCCGGCAGATCACCTCCGATGATTTTAAACGTATGCAGTTGGTGAGAAACAATTAAAAATATGTTTGTAAACAGTTTGTCAAAGTATCCACGTAGGGTGTGTAGAATCCAAAATAAGGTTTGGACTGGAAAATAACTGTCTAGGTAGTTTAAATACGCTCTATTGCTCAGTTGAAACCAAAACAAGGTGATTTTGTAAATGACGGTTCTAGATTTCGTCATAAGTAGTGTTGTGGATGCGGAAGAATAGACCAATAATTATCATGTTAAGTCCAGTGGTGTCCTTGGACTTTAAATGGACATTCCCTATTGGTCGATATCTGTTCACTTGTTGAATATTGTACAAAATGTTGTTTTCTATTTTTATGGTACGCTGTGGTATGCTTGACTAGTATATAAACAAAGTATGTTTGAAATATAGTGATTCATATCTCCGAGGCTGTGACTTTTGTTCTCCACTCAACTGGGCTAGGACAGACAGCGGGGCAGGGCCAATCAGGGCACTAGGTCGTCCATACGTGTTTTCCGTGTCACTCTCACCGAATCGATCAATAAACGCTGCTTATCAAACCCTGCAGTCTCAACAACAGGTGAAATTGTTATGACTTTACGTTGTGACTGCAGGTCTTGATAAGCAGCGTTTATTGATCGATTCGGTGAGAGTGACACGGAAAACACGTATGGACGACCTAGTGCCCTGATTGGCCCTGCCCCGCTGTCTGTCCTAGCCCAGTTGAGTGGAGAACAAAAGTCACAACCTCTGAGATATGAATCACTATATTTCAAACATACTTTGTTTATATACTAGTCAAGCATACCACAGCGTACCATAAAAATAGAAAACAACATTTTGTACAATATTCAACAAGTGAACAGATATCGACCAATAGGGAATGTCCATTTAAAGTCCAAGGACACCACTGGACTTAACATGATAATTATTGGTCTATTCTTCCGCATCCACAACAAGTAGGAATGTACATCATTACCTAAACAAATATTACCACTGAGTTACTCAACCAATAATTGTTCAATTAATCAAATCTAAATTACAATAAATGAACAAGTTGATAAAGGATGTTACACACTTCCTTATGTAACTCTCAAGGGACTACTTTCAGACCATGTAAAGTGTACAAATTTTGAATGATGTGAAGGATGAAAATTTCATAAAATGGTTCGTCAAAACATCAAGAATTTCACTACATTACTACGTCATTCCAATCTAATGTGTATTCAAGTTTATGCAGGTAAAATCTTATTAAGGAGTTGCGAAGATGTGCACAAGTTTGGTAGATGTTTGTCCTGTTTAAAATTTTATCCATGTAGTTCCTGTGTATTTCGTAATGATAAATGCTCTAAATGTGGTAAAATTAGATACATACAAGCAGTTTGTATTACTAATATTCATTTAGTTGCAGATAATCCTAAACTTTGTAATTTCGACCCTACTAAGTTGAATGTTTCAAAATTATCATATTCTGGTCAGATTCATGGTGTTATTTTACCATGTATACGTTGTTCTCATGATTCATCTATTTCTAATGAAATTATTTCCAACTATGTGGTAGGTGTATCTAGTGCACCTAATCCTGATCAGAACTCTGATGTTACTTTATATGATGTGGTTTTTCCAAATAAAATATTGGTTAAATGTGAGGGACAATTTCTAAATAAGTTAAACTGTGATTACAGTTCTGACGGTGTCTCATCAGATGTTATTTGTCCTCACAATAGACTTATCTATGATGATATTTCTAATGAATGTGACAAATATGTTCCGAATGAGTCGGACTCCAGTCACATTTCTGATGTTGTCGTATCAGATTTTGGATATTCTCACAATCAATGTATTATTATTCACAAACAGCTTGTGGATACATAAGTATTATGTAGAAAAAATTTTTCGTCTATTTAGAAATGCAATAAAACACAAGTTTCATTAATGTTGGCATAATATTTACCAAATTAAAAAAAAACCCGGTTCTGTGCATTTTAGAAGAATATTGAGTCAGCTTTTTTAAAGGGAATGAGGGAAAATAAGAGAATTTGAAAACGACAGTGGTATTACTCCTCGTTGAGTCAAATCTACAGTTTTGATTGTAAATTACGCATCAAAACTACTGTTCATGCTTTAATTGAATATATTTCAGTGAAAGTGATATTGTTCCCGTGTGTTTTGACTTTGCTTGTGCGCATTTATTGTATCATAGCATACCTGATGGACTTTGACTTTATTTATTCGGTTAAGGTGTGAGATTTTGTTTCTATATATACATTTTTCTGTTACTATTTTTAGTTAACTTTTAAGACGGCTAGCTCTGCTCACAGATGTGGACAGCCATAGTGCTAATTTCATGTGGAAGAAAGAATGCAATGTGATGTGTAAGAAGGGGTTCCATAAGCGTGTACCAGTTTAAATCCCACTGCCTATAAACGGTGCTCAAAGCCTAACTCCCATTGGTTTTGTTGTTCGAGCAAAACATTACTCATACAAAAGGTAATTATCTTCTGGCGCTGGCAAACAAAATGGTTGA